ACTGTGGGGGCGATATGCTGACTCTGTAAACCGCTTAGAGAGGGCTGAAAGCCCTATGAAGCGGTATATAAGTCTAACTGCTATTGCTATTCAAATTGGATTCCTGCATGAAGTATCTGGTTGGATTCAGTTGCAACTGCTCCATTCTCTTCTACACTGTTGAGATTCTGCCCGGTTGGCAATGCAGTCGCCGGCACAGTGGGCTATTTTAAAAAAAAGGTCCGGTCAAGCTAAGGGACTGGATGGGAGACCACCAGAAACTCCCTGGGTTATAGCAGAGACTCAGAAATGGCAAGAAGCCAGAGGCAGAAGAGCGCTTCCCTTTTTATGGTCAAAGAAAAACCTCCCCACCAAGGCTGAGGACTCTTCAGAGCTGAGCATAACTCGTAGGAATCTCTTCCCGCCCTCGCTCAGAAGATATTTTCTCCCACGAAGTAAGGATGCTCAGGCGCCAGAGAAGCACAGAACTTCCTCTGTAAGGTTTAGTTGCTTTACGTAAAAAGGGAATGAGGTCTCGTCTGGAATAGACCCAGTGGTGGGATCCTGCCGGTTTAACACTCAGTTCGGTGACCGTGTGTTTTGCACACGCTCTGTGTGTGTGCCCAGTTTTAGCCAAACTTACCTTCCATGTTACTTCTGGGGAGTAACACAGCTGAGGCGCGGCAGAGCAAATCAGCTGAGAGGATATAGGTAAGTAAAGGGCAGGGGGGCGGGGCGGGCGAACCAACCTGATTCATTGAAGCAAACCGGTTCGTCCGAACCAGTCCGAACCGGCTGAATTCCACCTCTAAATAGACCCCATTTAGGGCCGGTATAGCCTATTCCCAAGCTTTACCACTTCCATGCACAGTAGGCCTTAAATCAAGGTTACACTGAAGCTGGGTGAGCCGTTTACCATTGAAGGCACTGGGGCTGTTCATCTCCTGGGTTGTGCCCGGAAAGACAGGATGGTGGTCTTCAACAGGACTGTGGGCTGGAGATGCAGAACTCTCGGATTCATCGTGTCCCTGCAAGATGAATGTGAAACCATGGAGAACTCTTTCTTCCCGAGACACAAACACAGTTGGCCATAGTTACTATGTTTGACCCCTGCTTCCTTTGAAGGCCTGCCCTCCACGAAGCCCAGGCATGATTTTTGGGGAAGAGGAAGAGCATATTGCACACACAAGAGTGTTTGAAAAGAAGGAACTGCACATTTCACACTCCACAGGTCATCAGGTTGCTGTTCTGACCCAGTCTTAGCAGAAGCAAGAAACTCCTTGTCACACAAAAAAACCTCTCTTTATTTACCTCTTGTGAATGAATTGCATTCACCCACTGAAAAGTTCAGGCAAGAGTCTTTCAAGAAGTTAACTGCAGCAACAGACCTTATCAGTTCCTTGCAATAATTGCAAGGCTGTGAGCTCCCAGCGGAAAGGCTGCAAATGAAGTTTTGTCAAGCAGTCTTTGTGGCCCAAAAAACCTTGAGCAAAATCTTCAGAAATACGAACTGTTGTCTCCTACGATCAACACTCCCCGTTCTTTCTATTTATTTCCCAGCCAGGGAGGGGCCATTCAACATCTATGTGTGCTTTGCTTCTCAAGTCAATGTCCTCCATTGCTCACCTCTCCTAACAGCTCTGCATATACGCACATCTGGAACAGGCCCTAGCTGTTCTTCCTCCTCACTCATATCAGCCTCCAAAGGCTCCAGTGGCTGGGAAATGTCGGCCAGCCCCTGGCTCTATCTCTGCGTCCAACCCAGAGCATCCATCAGAGCCTTCCCCAGGCTCCAGAACTGGCACAAGTTCCTTCCCAACCTCCTCATTGTCCGAGTCTGTCGCCAGCTCTGCTGGCTGCTGGTGGGCCACCACAGTTGCTCTAAAAGGAGTTGAGAAGCAACCTCCCTTGTTGAAGGTATCTTCCTGGGAGCTTCCTGTTAATCATTTGCAGAATACTTGATTCTCCTCCTCTTTTCTATGGACCGGCTAAACCATTGCCCAGCTGCGCTTGGCACGAGAGGGGAATAATGAGATTTGGGGATATGAGACAGAGCCATGACACAAAACAAAAGGACCTGTCTTATCAGGTAGAAATGAGATTTCATTTCATGTAACCACCCTTAAATCTATTTTAGGCTATTAAAAAAAAGAGATCCATATTCATGCTGCGGTTGGGTGCAGATGGGTGTAGTAAATAGGTAGCAACAGAAGCTTGCATCCTTGGTTTGGTTACCTGCTGAAGAGCTCACGAGCAGAACCTGCAAGTCTTCACTGTTGCATGCTCTTTTTTCTGCTTTCACAAAACCACACGGAGAAGGAAGTGTGTGTGTGTGCGTGTGAGAGAGAGAGAGAGAGAGTGAGAAAGAGAGAGAGCATGCAAATGGGCTGAGAGGAAGAAGTTAAATGCTGGGCGATGGTGA